CCTTTATCCAACCCATTTTATACACTTACAAAGGGATTACAAGAACTGGTTCCAAATACCAAAACTCTTATGAATAAATTATTCTTTTGACTGTATTTCCATCAAACCATATGTCTCTAAATACTCATTAAAAAAAATGAGGTCCAAAAACACCATAAGGTAGAATAATTTCCTCCATCAATGTCATTCTAAAGTCATTTTCTTTGAATAAACACTCTGGAAATAGATAACAGCAGCCCTTTGAAAACTAACAATTCAAACAAACAGTTCTTTTGTCTGATAAATGTGTAGTCCTAACGTAGGTACTCTTTCAGTAACTGATAAGCAACCAATTAGTGAACAAATCATGTATATTAGCAGTTCTTAGCCTGGGATAAGAGAAAGGTAAGGTATTAGTTATACAAGATTTTTTAAAAAGAAACATAAGAAACAAAATAAAACCATACACATAGAAATGAGAGGAAAAGGACACAGTGAAGGGAAAAGGAAAAAAAACATGCAGTGTAGACAAAGAAGTTGACAGAACTAAAGTCAATCAGCATATATGCTATGAGTGCAGGGGACTGGACTAGATGACCTCTCAAGGTCCCTTCCAGTCCTATAATTCTAGCGCGCACACACACACACAAAATGCTGCTCAGGAATTTGTAAACTTATCAAGTTGTTGAGAGAGATGCTCCCTGACAACTTTGATTACATGCTCTTTGGGACAAGGACTACCTTTTGGTTGGGTGTTCACACAAAGCCTAGCACAATGGGACCCTGATTATCCATGTTTGGAGAGGGGTCCCCAGGCACAGATGAAATGCAAATAATGAATAATAAGGGACCCATTCAGACATTTTTCATTGGAGCTAAAAAGGATCAAGAATAAGAGAGCTCATATAGGTTATGAAAAAGCAACCCAGTATAACTACAACAATGTAGCTAATACAAATGCCCATGATGCAGAGACACTGCAACAGTACAAAGAGGAATTGCACTGGTGCAATTTACATCAGTAAGTTAGCAGAGCAAGTCACCTTGGTGCAAGGTCCATCTTACCATTGCAGTGCACCTACAATGTGGGGTTTGCAGAGCTGTAGCTACACTGGTGTACATACCCTGGTGCAAAAAAAAACCAAAACAAGAGACAGCTGTATAGAATAGTGGCACTATGAGAAAAGCTGTTCAGGACACTCCAAATCAGAAGGGATCAACAGGAGTAATCAGAGTTCATTTTCCTGAGTGAATAGATATATTCTCTTCTTGATTTATGTATGTAATTCCTATTAGTGTTAGCAAGAGATTTGCACACATATAAAGAAGAATATACCCTATCTTGCCAAATAAATACAATTCAAGCCTTTGCACTACTACATTCATGACTATAGAAGTGAGGGCCCGCACCAATCGTGCTACCAATTGTGGGGAGTTTTATTCAGGAACCAGCAAAAAGAGAATCACTGCTAATTTTAACAACCATGATACAGGTATAAGGTGAGAGGTGGTTTCACAGATAGATAAGTACCACATTAGAGACTGTCACCACTGCCTTGAAATGCACCCAGAAACAAATGGGAAGTCAGAACAGAACTTTAAGTAAAGCTGTTATGTGCTCAGAACAGTTCACCATGCATAGGTGGGAGGGATCCTGCACATGCTGATGCTTCCATGTGGTCTTCAAGGAGGATGGACTAGCTCAGAGGTGGGGAAACTCCGGCCCGTGGGACTGTCCGGCCCAGCCCCCGAGCTCCCAGCCAGGGAGGCTAGCCCCCAGCCCCTTCCCTGTTGTTCCCCACTCCCCCACAGCCTCAGCTCGTCGTGCCACCAGTGCTCTGGGCAGCGGGGATGCGAGCTCCTGCGGGCAACACAGCTGTGAGAGCCTCCAGCCTGCTACAGTGCTCTACACTGCACAGCAGCGTGGTTGCCAGTCCTGGTGCTTTGAGCGGCATGGTAAGGGGGCGTGGAGCGGGGGGGGGGAGGGAGGAGAGGTTGGATAAGGGGCAGGAAGTCCCGGGAGGGCGCGGTCAGGGGACAAGGAGCAGAAGGGGTTGGCTTGGTCAGAGGTTCTGACAGAAGTAGTCAGAGGACGAGAGTCAGGCTGTTTGGTGAGGCATCGCCTTCCCTACCCAGCCCTCCATACAGTTTTGGAACCCCAATGTGGCCCTCAGGCCAAAAAGTTTGTCCACCCTTGGACTACCTATTGACCATTAGTTACTGGCTAAAACAGAAACACAGATTACAAGGAAAATCTAAAACACAGAAAGTATCCACACAACATAACTGATAATGAAACACATTTGGGGCAAAGTGATCACATATTTCAAACAATTACATTTAATGCAGTAGTTGGGACACATTTCCCAGCTTTATCACTGCATTTGAGGCTTGTCAGTCTCAAACAAAGTGGAAAGCAAGTGCAAAAGGTATGAAAACAAAAGGTAAAGTGAAGCCCTTTCAGACTCTTCTGGTAGTGAGTAGTGCAATATTCAGAATGAAAGGAGCATTTTGAAGTAAACTTGCTGGACAGTAACTAAAAATTAAAGGAAGAGTCCAGTGATACTTAGATGGAAGCTGCTATTTTCACAGGAGTGCCTAATACTGGCTGAGACAGTCTCATGACCCTATGACTTTAAAACTCAGTCGGCCTAGTGGAAGTAACTGAAGCTGCAGCACGTTTAGTGTGGGCAGGTGCCATAGAATCATAGAATATCAGGGTTGGAAGGGACCCCAGAAGGTCATCTAGTCCAACCCCCTGCTCGAAGCAGGACCAATTCCCAGTTAAATCATCCCAGCCAGGGCTTTGTCAAGCCTGACCTTAAAAACCTCTAAGGAAGGAGATTCTACCACCTCCCTAGGTAACGCATTCCAGTGTTTCACCACCCTCATAGTGAAAAAGTTTTTCCTAATATCCAATCTAAACCTCCCCCACTGCAACTTGAGACCATTACTCCTCGTTCTGTCATCTGCTACCATTGAGAACAGTCTAGAGCCATCCTCTTTGGAACCCCCTTTCAGGTAGTTGAAAGCAGCTATCAAATCCCCCCTCATTCTTCTCTTCTGCAGGCTAAACAATCCCAGCTCCCTCAGCCTCTCCTCATAAGTCATGTGTTCTAGACCCCTAATCATTTTTGTTGCCCTTCGCTGGACTCTCTCCAATTTATCCACATCCTTCTTGTAGTGTGGGGCCCAAAACTGGACACAGTACTCCAGACGAGGCCTCACCAATGTCGAATAGAGGGGAACGATCACGTCCCTCGATCTGCTCGCTATGCCCCTACTTATACATCCCAAAATGCCATTGGCCTTCTTGGCAACAAGGGCACACTGCTGACTCATATCCAGCTTCTCGTCCACTGTCACCATGCAAGTGTCCCAACACAGCCCTGGCTTTCTACCTCAGAATATAGCTATGCCTACTGATACTTTAGACATAGGTCTCGCTACAACCCCAAACTGAAACCCACTGAAGTAATGAGAGGATTCCCATGGCCTTCTGTGGCCTTGGCTTAAGCCCTTGATTAGAAACTATGCTCAACTACAATGTAGTTTAGTGATGTGAACCAATGTTTACTACACATGAGAAGGAAACAACTGAACACACACTTTCTTATTGCCGAAGCCAGCAACTCTCCGTACATGCGTGCACTAATTCAATGCACCACACAAGCCACTCTACTTTTTTTTTTTTAAACTCTAATCAGGTATATCCCTAATATCAAATTTTGTAGGGAAAAATAATCCTATGAATTAAAACCATTTTTTAAAACAGATTTCCAATCTCCTGAAAAACCTTTTTTCAAAAAGAACACCCCAGAGCAGTACGAAATCCACAACTATCTACACACATAGTGGAATTAAAAAAGTCTTGAAACAATTCACACCAGAGAGTGCAATAAATATAACTGGGTGAAATTCAGTGTTGTGTTTCCCAAATATCTTTTTTCAGCTTAGGTTCACATGGGTTGCTTGTCTTCAAATTCTGAACAATTTCAAATACTCAAAACAAAACTCAGCCAAACGTACCAGATCATCAGTGGAAAACACGTGAAGCCATGAAGTTTCACACGGCTTACAAGCAAAGCTATAAATCCGCTGGGTCTAAAGAAAAAGTTCATGCTCCTCAGCAAACCTAACCCTAGTTGTGTGTTTGTAAATAAACCTGAAACTGACATTTCACCTGATTTAATGACAAAAGTTTTAGTAATACTGCTCAAATAAAGTACCATGGCTATTTTTCATTCTACGTTCTCTCAGCACACAACCGGCCACTAAAAAATCCCATGCTCCCCTAGCAGAGAATATTAATATATTAATGAGGACTCCATCTTGTATAGGGTAGCCCTGAAACTTATAGAATATGTATTCTTCAAGGGGTCAATGCAATCCTAAGCGAGGCATCACTATTGACTGTAGCGTGGTAAACAATATGCATAGTCACTAGTTAGAATTCCTGTACTGTGACATTCTTTTGCCTGTTTCATGACATCATAATTTTTTTTTGTGGGTCTAAAGAAAAATTTCACGCTCCTCAGCACCAGGGCCAGCTCGAGGTTTTTTGCCGCCCCAAGCTCCAAGAGCACAACTAAACAAGCAAAAAAAAAAAAAAAAAGGGATGGCCGGAATGATGCCGCCCCTGAAATTGTGCCGCCCTGAGCATGTGCTTGCTTTGCTGGTGCCTAGAGCCGGTCCTGCTCAGCAAGCATTATAATAATCCTTAGTTTTTTTTGAAGCACCAAAATTGTCATCAGTTGTAGACAGGCATTATTCATCAAAAGGACTAAATTCACAGTGAGAGTCAAGGTACAAAAGATTCTTTGACAGACTGAATTACAATAACAATATGATGATACAGGAACAAACTGAAGCCTTGATTTCCCTTCTCTGAAATGTAAGTTGCCCATCATAACAGTAAAATAAAACCACAGGGAATCTGCTATGAAAGGTCACAAACACTAGTTTGAATTGTACAGGTAGAGGCAAATTACAGTTAAAAGCTTTTCAGTGAAAAATCCTACCGTCTTCTGAACAATTTCCAAGGACGTTCCATGTAGGTGGCAGCTCTTCATGAGCTATGGCCAGCATCATATCATGATCCAGTGACTGCAAATCTTCCACAGTTAGCCCAAACTTACTGAGTAGTGTCTGGTGACTAGTAGAAGTGACGCAGTCAAAGTGGCTAACCAGAAAATGAGATAACTTGCAAGACAGATTCTGTTTGTAAGTGACAGAGCAGCAGCCCAGGGTCACAGGTGAATATCCCTTCGTGTACATGAACACAGAGACTGAAACTGTTTCTTGGCATCCATGGCCTGAAATATAACGTAGATCAATCATTAACACATTAGCTACTTTTAGAATATATATTGCTCTTCCCTCATCTCTTGTTTAACCTAAGAAATACTTCGAAAATGTATTTGACATTGCTTTATTTTATTTCCCTCCATTTAAATCTATTTGTTAAAGGGAATCTATCACTCACATTTGGTCACAAATTTAAAACTTACTATACTGATAACAAATGTCCTCCCAGTTATATGGATGTATTTGGTTTCAAAACCAGCCTTTCCAGTCCTGGGTACTTTAAGATGGTCTGCTTAAAAACACATCTCAGATTACAGTAAGTGCTGAATGCCCTAATTCAAAAGCATGAGGTGGCTTAGGGCATTTCAACACCTACAGTAATTTAAGAGAAAAAAAAAGAAAAAAGAGATGTGAAATGGTAAATTTAAATTATCTGAGTCCTAGAATTCCTTTAACAGTCTTGGTTCTACCCTGCAAAGTCCTCAGTATTCATCAGCAGGATTGAAAGTGGGAGATGGGTAAGTAGTCATTGGCAGACCACATCTGAGCATGGGTGCTAGTTGAACAGATCCCAGCATGCACATTTTGGGACCAAGCACAGCTAGGTACCTCCAACCCCATGCCCAAAGCACATCTGCTAGGTCACAGTGAGTGAGAGTAGGGAGGGGGGAACAGAACCGGGGGCAGTGAATAGACAGGGCAGCAGATGTCACCTGCAGGGTAGCAGATGTTGACATGTAAATTAAAGATGTAACAGTCATATGAATGGAAAAATCACAACTTTCAGTGGAGGACCAGTATAGATGGTGACTCGCCCCCAGTGGCAACTTTTTCTATACCTCCCTTCTGCTCTCCTAGCAAGATCAGCCCATTGTGACTGCTGTCACCAACCACAGAAACAGTTCTTTGGGTCAGAAGCAAGAAAAATGATGACAGCAAAAAAGGGATTCCTGAGGAACAAGGAGTGGGAGCACCAGGAGTTTTTTTTTTTAAACATGGATTTTATACCCACTGACCTCCCTAGAAGCTTTCCACAAATGTATGTCTCTATTTATGCAACCACATTTTTGACAACACGGATTTAAAGCAATTTTAAGTTTTCAATTTATGGCTGGAATTTTCACAGGTGCCCAGCTGTGTTAGGAGCCCACTGTCCTAGACACCTAACTCCCTCAGGCTCTTTTGATAACCCCAGGGTTAGTTTCAAAGATAGTTATCTAAATGTGATGTCTTAGAAATATCTCTACAAGAGCTGTGCACTGTTCTTAAACTTCTCACATGAGTGAATGCTGAAACCTACTGATACTATTTTAAAGGGTAGATTTTAAAACAATGTAGGTATGCGTCTGATTTCTGCATACTACAATTGTTCATACAAATCAGGTAAATTAAATACACAAGAAAATGGGCAAGTAAACAAGGAACAGTGATAGCAGTCGTCTTTAAACATAAAATGATACAAAGTACTTTTATTTGGCAACTTTACTAAGTAAAGTTTTGTTACAATATAAAGACTATTCAACCCTCAATCTTTGTTTTAAATCACCCATTATTTTCTGTAGGAATAGACAGAAAGTTGAGTGTAGTCTATGGCTTTATGTTTTTATTTCTTGTTCAAAAACAAATTCATTCCTCTATAAAAAAATTAGTTTGATACCCTGGAATAAAACATGACATTTCTTCCATTTTATTCCATGATAATCTCTTCCCATTTAGTGAATTAAAGAAGCAGTCATGGGACAGCACAGAATTTTTCCTTTTCATCAACTGCCGGTTTTCAGAATCTAAATCTCCTCTAGTTATTGCATAAGTAAATAGGAACAAGTAACAAGCAGAGCCTACTGCACTGGAAGACTGTATTTATATCTGCTATTTACTAACAAACGGAACGTTCACAAATAAGATTTTTTTTAAAAACAATCAGTTTCCATATTATAGCAGCCAAGGAGATAATCTCTTTTTAAGGCAGTAAATGGGGTGTCAGGCTAGTCCAGGTTCACACCCTTCATTGTGAAGCACCAGGATCATATGTTTGCATCCCACTCCTCTTCCACATACATCATCAGCTTAGGCAATGTTCCAAATACAAGTGTTGATGACTTCTTACTACAAGACTTCAAATCAGAAGAGAATTAAGAAGTGATGCTCCCCAGTCCTGCTCTTAGGGATGGTGGCCCTAGCTGCAAGGTGACTCCAACCCAGGTCTTGATGTAGCACTACATTCATGGGCGCCACAACAATTCCAGAAGTCAAATAAGTATGGGCATTTCTCACCCCACCAGAAACAAGAGGGTTCACTTGCTCACCAACAAGGGTGTTTCTCATTCTTTGTTCTACAACCCAAAGAAACAACACTGAAAGGCCAAGGCCATAAAAACAAGCACTTAAAATGCAGAGGCAGGTCTAGGCACTTAACCTGAATGCTGCCTCCTTGGATCTCCCTCCCATAATATAATCTCTTCACATCATTTGTCAAATGATACAATGCAGGCTGGAATTGTCCACAAAACGCCATACCCAGCAAGCCACAGAGCAGCACACACATAACTCAGACCTGGACAAATCCACAGTTCTCAGTAAAATCCCCAGATCAAGCCAAGATTGAAGAACTGGACGATCTTAACCACTACATTCTGGGATGGCCCACAGACTGACACAGAGGGGTTCTGCAGGCTTCAGAAGTCCAGTAGCAAAAGGCCTGAGCTAAGACTTGGCTTGTTTTGTAGACATCACAGAGGCTTAATCATCAAGTCACATCTGAAGACCACATGCACTGTACTGCTCCCCCATTGCAAACAATATATATAGTGTTGCAAAAAGCACAAGAGGGCAGAAACAAGACTAACCACACAAACTCATCCCCAAAGCCCACCCCACCGTACCATGTTTCCCATTATAAAAACTTAATAAGAAAACACAAGTATGTCAAACTATCAGATTTTAATTCACATCAAAAAGGAAAGTGGGGGTGGAACAGAGAAATAAAAATGTGATATAACAACAGTGCTCACCTGGAATGATGGACTGAAGAGCACTATCATTAATTCGCTCCGCAAACGTTATGTGTCTCTGAGTGGATCCATTGTAAACAAAGTAACATTCAGCATCTTCTCGGAGGTAAGTATCTTTGTCAAACTTTGCATACACAGTCATCTGTCCCTGAAAAGGGAAAATAACTTTGTATACACCCAGCAGTGTTCTAACAGCCAATAAGCCTACTAATATATATTTCAGATTTTAAAAGTTTACTGGTTAATTTTTCAGCTCTACAACATAACAGTAGTTCAAATAAAAATCTGCTATTATCCATCCCTGTTCAGAAGGCAATACTATATTTATCAAACTGTAATGGATAGGATTAATTTTTAAAAAATATTTTAACTAATTCCTGTAATCACAATTCATACCTACAGAAGAATATCCAACTTTTAACCAAGCATAAATAAATGGGTCAAAATAAGTAGGCCAATCAACCAATATATTTTAATATTCATGAGAACATTCTATTAAAAATAAAAAATGTCTGCATTCTGAAATTTATTTTATGCTAATTTATTTCAGAATTTTCTTCAAATGAAACAATCTTATTGTTAACACTTGGTTGACCAAAAAAAGCACTAATATATCCCTCTAGTACAGTGGTTCCCAAACTTTAACAACTTGTGAACCCCTTTCACTAAAATGTCAAGTCTCACAAACCCCCTCCTAAAAATGAATATTTCCAGGGATTCTCTCCTTTACCAGAGTATAAATTATAAAAGCAGTGACCTTGGAAATATAAAATTTGTTTTTATGACATGCTTATTACACACTATGTATTATTAAATTATTTATCATTACAGTCTTTTTATTACATTATGAAAACGGCAACACTCTTCCAAGATTTCACTTTCGTAGCTTGTATCACTTTGAATAAGCCTATTATAAGACAAGGCTCCTATGTTTCATCAAGGAGTATCAGATGTGAAACAGCATGAAGGTATTTAAGAAGCCAGCTCAAAGAGTTCCTCCTACACAAGCATTCAGGTCTTGAGCAGTCCAGGCAAACAACGCACGTTACAACAAATCTTAAACTTGTTCTTCATAATAATTTTAAAAACAATACTAGCTGCCTATTTAATTTTAAGAACACCAAAAAATATCCAACTCCATTTCTATTTCTTATAAGGAGTCTTGAAGTTTAAATCTCCTCAGTGTGATAGATACGCTTGCTTTGATCTGCTTAGCTCTTGGAAGTCCAGGGGCTCCGGGCTGCTAGCCCCATGCTGCCTGGGGTCCCTAGGGACAGCTCTGTCCACCATTTGGGAATTTTTCCCTGAGAACCCCCTGTAACATTTCACGAACCCCAGTTTGGGAACCACTGCTCTAGTACAATTGTGCAAGATCGAAGAAATATGATGTCCCAGAGATAGCCACCCTTTTTGTTTTATTTTTTAAATAATCAATAGAAAGTAACAAGCCAAGAAAAAGCCACTGTACAATAGCTTCAAAAAAAGCACAGGAAAGGGATCTGAAAGCAGCAAACAATAACAAATGTCTGCAACGTCTGAGGGAGGAAATTTAGATGAAGATGCATTTCCTAAAAGAGAAGAACAGCTTGCTTCACAAGGGTTGCTGGTCGCCACGATTACTTTTAATAAGCCACAGACAGAATTGTCCTAACATGTCGCTAAACGTGTATTTTCTATCTCCGCAATAAGACACTTTCCCTGCGCCAGTCGCTGATAACTTTGGCAGGCCCGGTTGCAGTCAACAGACTAGTAGCATACAGGTGTGGGCAGCTGTGAGATGCCAGCAGCAGCTGTGCTTTCTATTTATTTGCTACCTGCATGAGTGAGATATCAGCTAAAATCACCACCACCTGTGGGACAATGGTGCCACTATCCAGTGCCATTGCCCTATATTCATAGTTTCATGCAACCAAGCAATTTTCTCCTCATTTCTCTCACATCTTGCGGGCCCTATTCACCCTGCAGGTGCTGTGAGCAGTGCCATGCACAAGTCATCCCAAGCAGAAGTGTCAAGTCTTGTTTAAAACTTTGTGGGAGCAAAAGGAGGGAGTTCTGAATCTTAACTTTTGCTTTTCGTTGTGCCTGTGCTGACAATGGTATCTGTGCATGGTTTATCTGTAGCTGCTGTCGCTGTGGCCTGGAGGGGTTCTCCCTTCACACTTGTCAAGGTTCCTTCCCCACTCTGAACTCTAGGGTACATATGTGAGGACCAGCATGAAAGACCCCCTAAGCTTATTCTTACCAGCTTAGGTTAAAACTTCCCCAACGTACAAACTTTGCCTTGGCCTTGAACAATATGCTGCCACCACCAAGCATTTTAAACAAAGAACAGGGAAAGAGCCCACTTGGAGATGTCTTCCCCCAAAATATCCCCCCAAGCCCTACACCCTCTTTCCTGGAGAAGGCTTGATAATAATCCTCTCCAATTTGTACAAGTCAACACAGACCCAAACCCTTGGATCTTAAGAACAATGAAAAAGCAATCAGGTCCTTAAAAGAAGAATTTTAATTAAAGAAAAGGTAAAAGAATCACCTCTGTAAAATCAGGATGGAAAATACTTTACAGGGTATTCAGATTCAAAACACAGAGGATCCCCCTCTGGGCAAAACCTTAAAGTTACAGAAAACAGGAATAAACCTCCTTCTTAACACAGGGAAAATTCACATAAAACAAAAGATAAACTAATCCGCCTTGCTTGGTTTACCTATACTGGTTGAAATACTGGAGACTTGGATTAGGATGGGTTGGAGAAGATGGATTTCTGTCTGGCCTCTCGCAGTCCCAAGAGAGAACAAACATGTGTAAATAAAGAGCACAAACAAAAGTCTTCCGCCCCCTCCCCCAAGATTTGAAAGTATCTTGTTCCCTTATTGGTCCTTTGGGTCAGGTGCCAGCCAGGTTAGCTGAGCTTCTTAACCCTTTACAGGTAACAGGATGTTGCCTCTGGCCAGGAGGAATTTTATAGCACTGTATACAGGAAGGTGGTCACCCTTCCCTTTATATTTATGACAACACTTGAGCCAGATAAGGACGGGAAAGAAGCAGACTCAGGATGACCTGTTCAGGAAGATCCTGCAACCCAGTGCTGTATCAAAGCGTGAAGAGAGGGCCTGGAGGATGAATCATGCGGACTATGGAGAAGGAAAGAACAGAGAGGAGAAAGGTCCAGGAGTCCCAGCAGGAAGAGGCCAGGAAGCTGCATCAGGACATAATGGGGCTTCTCTGGCAGCAAATGCAGATGCTGCAGACTCTTGTGGACCTACAGATTCAATGTTAGGCTCACCTCCCTTTGCAGGCCATGGAGAACTGCAGTGTAGCACCTCTCTACATGCCTCCCTCCACTATTCCACATGGCACCCCTGTCCCTACCATTCCACACTAAGGACAACCACAGCTTCACACACACTGACCTGTGAGAGCCATGACTAATGTATGTGTAGCTAAAATGGACATGAATGTTCCTTCCCCTTCTCTAAACTTTGTGATATAAATTTATTAAAGTTTTAATGTATTTGTTTTTAACTTGCACAGAATTTTTAAAGTATTTTCATCACTCAATAAAACTCTATTGTTTGTAAAACAATTAATCGCTATTAGTTCCCAATATATGCTGCAGAATGCCTGGTGGTAGTGAAAGCACCCACTTAGCTGTACTTGTATACTTTGACAGAACTCATAGGATGAGTGACACATGCAAGGATATAATCATAAATCTGCAACAAGCACCACAAAATTAATAGATACATTGACAGTGTTATATTCACAGATGAGCATCAAGCGCCACATAATTCCTCACAGGCCCCCAAACTGCAGGGCCAGGTAGAGCATAGTACGCCACAACACATTACTATGGCTCACTGGTAAAGTGCTCTTTCAAAGCCTCCCTAAACCATTGAGCCACTGCATGGCTGTTCAAACTCAGCAAACAGCCGCCCCACCTTCCCCCCCTATCCTGTGGCAACTTCTTCCCGTTTACTTCACAGATGTTATGCAGGACATGGCAGGCAGCTATAACCATTGGACTACTTTTCTCAGTGAGATACAGTCTTGTCAGTAAGCAACGTCAGCATCCCTTCAGTTTACTAAAAGCCAATTCAGCTGTCATTCTGCACTTGCTAAGCCTGTAGATCAGTGGTTCCCAAACTTTAACAACTTGTGAACCCCTTTCACTAAAATGTCAAGTCTCACAAGCCCCCTCCTAAAAATGAATATTTCCAGGGATTCCCTCCTTTACCGGAGTACAAATTATAAAAGCAGTGACCTTGGAAATATAAAATTTGTTTTTATGACATGCTTATTACACGCTATTTATTATTATTTATCATTACAGTATTTTTATTACATTATGAAAACGGCAACACTCTTCCAAGATCTCACTTTCGTAGCTTGTATCACTTTGAATAAGCCTATTATAAGACAAGGCTCCTATGTTTCATCAGGCAGTATCAGATGTGAAACAGCATGAAGGTATTTAAGAAGCCAACTGAAAGAGTTCCTCCTACACAAGCATTCAGGTCTTGAGCAGTCCAGGCAAACAACACATGTTACAACAAAGCTTAAACTTGTTCTTCATAATAATTTTAAAAACTCCAAAAAATATCCACCTCCATTTCTATTTCTTATAAGGAGTCTTAAAGTTTAAAACTCCTCAGTGTGATAGATATGCTTGCTTTGATCTGCTTAGCTCTTGGAAGTCCAGGGGCTCCAGGCTGCTGGCCCGCTCTGCCCTGAGTCCCTAGGGACAGCTCTGTCCACCATTCAGGAATTTTTCCCTGAGAACCCCCTGTAACATTTTACGAACCCCAGTTTGGGAACCACTGCTGTAGATGAATCTCCCCTTGATGCTCTCAAGGTGGCCAGTGTCTGGCTTCATGAGCCAGGGTAGTAAGGGGTAGACTGGGTCCCCCTAGGATCACTAATGGCATTTCAATATTGTGACTGGTAATCCACTGGTTGTGAAAGAAAGTCCCTGCTTGTAGCTTTCTGAACAGTCCTGAGTTCTTAAAAATGCAGGAGCCATACACTTTTCTTAACCAGTCAACATTGATGTCAGTGAAGCATCCCCGATGACCAACTTGCACCTGCATAACCGTAGAAAAATAGCCTTTTCAGTTGATGTACTCTGCAGCAAGGTGGTCTGGTAGCAA